CATGTAAGATAAATGTTATTTAGCCTAATCCAATTTAGCAGCCCTGATCCTGCTTTGGAGAACACACATGTGAGGAGGCCTTTCCAGTGTGTGTGTGTTTATGTGTGGACAGACAGACTTAGCAAATGTGTCCCACACACTACCCCCAACAAAGACAGAAAACTGTGACACAGCACATACAGTTTAGATGCTGTGTCCTTACATGAGCGTGACCTTGACTCTATATGTTTCACGTTAACTCGTCCTGTGCGTGTGTGAGCGTGTGTGTGAGTGAGCAGGGTTAAATATACATGTGCTGTGAGCTTTCAGCTATGAGTGTGTGACCTTGACTGCACCTCATGTTTTACGATGACTCACCATCCTTACGTGTGTGTGTGTGTGTGTGAGTTGTCATTAGTCTGATCTGTGACCTTGGCTGTACAGTTATAAGCCTGCTGGCATTGATGTGGGGCTGCACTTGAAAGACAAAATTCAAGGTTGATCCCTGTGTCAAACATAATGGATCCACAATGATCCACAGTCCCGCCACGCTGCACTAAACTGTGAGCAGTAATCTAATGAGGTAATAGGCAGGGGTGCTCTGTCTATTGTCTAAATCGCAGGGCTACACTTAGTCTCATAACGTTCTTGTCGCTGAGATCAACTGATGATTTTCAGAGAGAAGTGAATGTCAGTGAGGATCTGAGTGTATAACTAGTGTATGAACTGCGTCATGATATGTGCTGTGTATAAAGATTGCCTTTGAACTCCTATCAAATGTATGTGTGTGTGTGTGTGTGTGTCTGTCTGCATATAAGGTCAACACTCCTGGCTGAGCGACGACCGAACACACTCCCCGCCTTGCTCTGTTCTGCTCAGCTCGCTTCCAAGAAGGAGATGTTACAATAGCCAACACCCTGCTGAGAACATCACAACCATCTGCTATTATAACACCACCGGGCCGACCGACCATCAGGACGTCAACATGAGGCCACCAGCGTCTATTTACCGAGCCGACTTCCAGGAAGAAACACACCGTGGCCAGGGGAAGTCGGACAAAAACAATGCAATCCATAAAACTGTCAGAACCTAAAAGGACGACTGTGTGAAACCGACGGAGCCGAAGCTGTAATGCAAACAACGCACAGTAAACTCTGTGTTACATTATCCTTAGGTTTCCTGACTGTAATGTGTAGGCCACTAACAATATTCGGTTTGGTTTCATGGTTCTTTTATGGTTTTTTGAAATAGCAGTTGATTCCAACTCAGGACAAGCTTTCAATCCCATCGCGTTGTTTTCATCGGCGAATGAATGCGAGCCATAGATGTTTAACGCTGGTATTGTTCAAGTCCATGTGATATAACAGACAGCTGAAAACTTGCACTTGACAAACAATGAGTAATGCACATTTTACCACAAGCCATTACATAATGATATCCAAGAATCTTGTCTTTACACTTGTCTGGTGTAGGTGTTGGTTACAATGTGTGTGAGCAAAAGGGGGTTTGGTGTGTGTGTGTGTGTGTGTGTGTTAAGCATTTAGGCCCAGCGCACTACACCTACTGCACAAATAAATCTGTTCTTAGCTTTACAGAGGCGTGTGGAGCGCAGTAAAAGACGCCACTCCTGTGTTTGGGAGCGTGTTGTGTGCTGAAACGCTCGTGAATGTTAAAAGGAGCCAGAGTCCGACATCAGGAATCTTTCACCAATGCAGATTCACATTCATCGCTTTTCATGCAGGCTCGCAGACATTAGGGTGTGACAGCATATTTTCACTCTTGAGTATTCCCTGCTGGATTCAGATGCTTTTTGGATGATGTGATGGAGTTTCATGAAAGCAGAAACAGATTCGGGATTAAAGTCTGTCTGAGATGTTTTTCTCTCTTCGACTGATGGGGATGGAAGTGTCTGAGACGCAGACATAACAGGATATATAGAGAAGGGCACAGTTGGTACCTAAATAAAACACACTCCTCAACCACATGGCTTGGTGTTGATGGCAGCTACCAAGAAAACAGCAATTAGTGCTCATCACCTTCTGCAGCGCTTACAGCTGCAGTGTGGGGGTTTAATGTTTGTATGAAGCATGTTAGCACCAAAATAAAGTGGATCATAAAGGAATTGCAGTTTTTGAAAACAACACAAATAAGGATCTCATGTTCCTGGGCTACAAAACAGTCAACCAGATTCATCTGACTAGTTTGTCTGCTCAAATTTACTTTTATAATAACACAGCTTTAGTAAATAAGTAAAGTCTTAATTAATAGTTACAAAAAATATTCTTCTTCGGTAATACATACTTATAACTATTATTAAGTTTAATTATCACTACAGGTCAGTACTGATATACTTTGAAGAGGTTAGGATGCTCTAACTGCTATTCCATTGTTAAAGTTAGGTCCTCCATTTTTCCTCCATTAAGTAAAGTAGGGGGGGGCATCTTCTTGTTTTTGCCCCGGGCCCTCTAGCATGTTAATCCAGCCGTGCTGAAACAGCACAGTTGGCTGTACATGTCGAATCCACAAACACTGGGCCTGTGTTTACTATGAGCAACCCAGAGCTACCTTGACATGAAGCCAGTGTTAAAGAGGCTAACATTAACTCATATTAATCCAGTCCTCCTCTCTGCTCGGTGTTAATTACACATGGCTGATGGTTCCTCACTTCAGACCTGGCGCCGCTAGCCTACTGGCCAACACCCAGGCTGCTTGTAATTGGCGCTAATACAGCAGCAGAGTCAGGGGTCATGGTCTTGATTCTATTCCAGGTTAACTGCGATATCTTTCAGAGGTGAGGTGGCTCTCCATAGAGTGTGTGTTTATGGTCTATAAATCAATAGAGGGAGATATTTCACCTAATTTTATTTTTCGGACGTCCTCTCTCCTCTTTGAGGTTCAGGTTTGATAACACCTATGACTTTCAGATCCCTGTCAGTCCACATCTGGAGGTTTTAGCAACAAACGACCGAAAGCAAATCTCCACCCGACAGATGAAGTACTGAGATAATCAGCACATTTATTAGCCCGAATCAGTTGGAAATTCAATTCATGGTGTCATGCTGAGGACTTTGGAAATGGAGGCATGGCCAGGCATTTTCTGTATCAGCTGTGTGAAGTGAGCAGGGCCCCGACATAGCTCTGAGTGTTTTGTCTGCATGGAATTAATACACCCTCCGAAAAGGCCTGACCATAAATTAGCCGGGCCCACTCTTCCTAATCAAGCATGTTTGAAAGCAAACTAAATCCTCCAGTGAAGAGAACATGCTCTCTGTCCATTAATCATGACCTCCAGTAATGGCAAAATAATGACTTTCAAGTAATAACATCAGATGAGTGTGTGTGTGTGTGAGACCCGAGGCATTTAATCATCCATATTTGTTTGTTCCCTTTTGAGGTTGAACAAAAAAAGCAGCTGATGTAGCAACACACTCAGCTTAATTAATAATAGTGTCATTGCTTCATATCTGCACATTTATAAACCAAACCATCCTCAAAGTTTATTTTTCAATTAAGCAGTAAGTGCAGTGTCATTGTTAAACATTAATTATTGTTTCAAAAACAAAACAAGTAGTGCTGTGTGTTGCTCCCTGACAGAGTGTTTTTCATATTGTAATTAAAAGTAACAGTAAGAGTAATCTTGATGTCACCATCTTCCCACATTAGTAATGGCCAGACGAGCCAATAAACTCAAATTCTCCTTTAAGATTAAGCTCAAATAAACTGATCATTATTTGCAGCTGCCTAATCAGCATTAACACATCAGGGGTCTGCTCACACCCACATTCATGGAGTTATAGACGGAGGAGGGTGGGTGGGTTTGCTGAATGCACAGACAGGGAGTCTGCTGGTCAGCGTAAGATTCAAAGGCGATAAACTCCATAAGCTGCCGACACCGTAGCGACCCCGCCGGTAGCCCGGCAACCGGAGTGTGTGTTGACAACAACAGTGGTCTGACACAAGGCTTGTGCTGAGGGGTCCAGGCTGGGAGGAGCGCAAACACACACACACACTGGTGTAAAGTACAGTCACAAGCAAAAAAAAAAAAGAAGGTGCACCCGCACCCACCCACACATAGAACATACATCATAAATCAAGTATCTGACACACACACACGCACACACACACACACACACACACTGTGATATAGAGAATAATCTACTTCTGCATTCGGAATGGGGCAGACTGGGATCGGATTGCCGACCTCCTGGTTAAAGGACGACTGCTCTAACCCATGAGCCACACCCACCCCTAATGTTCTCTTGTTATTGCTAATGACTAAAACCCTACAAAATGTTATCACTTCAACAATAACTTGAAAGTTTATGATAATAATAATAATATCAAATGTTTTACCTGTCTTATCCTACCTCAGCAGAACATAGTGGAACATGGCTCATGGGCTATAAATGCTTTCATGTGTTGAGATTTTACTCAAAATGGCCTTTAATAGTGACTTTCCCCCTTTTTTTTACTTTAACTTCACCATATTATTGCTTCTTTTGTTGATTGTTACAGGATCATCTTCGAAAATCAAACATTCCTGCGGCATATTATTAGCTTTGCAGTATTTCTTCACAGAGAAGATTCTCATTGGTGCCACAGAAAAGCCACAGAAATCTCTTTTATCCTTTAAAAGGCCCATTACAGTATCTTCTACAAAGAACTCTTAACTATTGTCTCACCTAATCCTTATTAATACCTCCTCTTTTATAGTCAAGCTCAGCATTAACCTCTTAATTTAAAAAAATCTACATTTATCCACTGTTTAACCCAAATAGCTTTGTTGAGGTCTTTTCTATTTAATAAAGTCTAGATTTCCCTAAAAAATCCATGATAGGGACGACTATATACTGGACAGATCACAAGTACAGAACAAAAGCCAGTTGCCAAATCTATAAAAAGGAATATACATTACTACATTTCCTGTTGGACATGCAAAAGAGGTCTACATTGTGTTCCTCTGATTATCCTCAGGTTGTAAGGGTGGAGTGAGTGCACAGGTGGAGGGTGAGATTAAATACCTTTACAGGCGAAGCACTTGATGTGGAAGTGTTTGTTCTGAACTCGCAGCGCCTCCCCTTTGCAGGGCTTCCCACAGTTCTGACAGGGGATAGGTCCCCCTCCTCCTCCGCCCTGCTTCAGCTTCTTCTGCTCCAGAGGGCTGTGGACAGCCTGCTGCTGAAACACTGCAGGAGACAGACAGAGAGAGGGAGATAACAAGTTTAGACTTCATTCCAGTATACAGTGGGAAGTGTATCGAGTGTGGAGACCCACAATGATGTGTACAGATATAGCACAACAGGAATAACAGACACACAATCTTAATTTTTGTGGTTTTGATGGGGAGTCCTAGGTTTACTGTACCACTACCATTGCTATTCTGGCCCCCTCATATCTCTGTGATTGGAAGGCCATATAAAGACAAAGTGAGGGACCGTGGCTCTGTAGAGAGGGTCGACCACTAACCAGAAGGTCTGTGGTTCGATCTCCAGCTCTGTCTGCATTCCAAAGTGTCCTTGGGCAAGATCCTGACACCAAAATTGTCATGCCAACAGTGTATGAATGGCATTATAGAAAAAGTGCTGCATATTGATAAGAATGGAAAAGACCTATATAAATACATTTACCATTTGCATAAACTGAAGAGTACATAACAAGAGTACAGTGTGGATGGTACATTAAACACTATATAAATTAGCAATGAGATATGCAGGATCAAAAAGATATTCCAGCCAGAAAAGAGGTCACATTTCTGTTTGGCGCAAAAATATACATAAAGTAAAACAAAAAACTGCTTATGAATAGCTTTAATCCCAAAATATCTGCATCAATTCAGCAACAACTTTTTTATTCTTCAAGCTTCCACATCCAGCCTTTTACTGTGTCATGTGTCGTCATTGTAATTACACGTGCCTTTAATTCCAAAAATATCCCAGTCATCATTTAGAATGTCACATCACACAAGGATGTGAAACCAGTTTGGCACACTAAAATCCAAATGTTTTCTATATTTACAGGGACATTGTCTTACAATCCCTGCTGATGATGCTAATCACTGCGGGTTGCAGGAAAAATCTTTTGGTGCCCAAAATCCCAACAATGTCACCGAGTCCCCACAATGTCACACACATAGTAGAAAGCCTGACACTGGATGATCGTCATCACTTTGTCAGGATCCCAATCGTTTTCCACACAGGATGTACAAAACATCTACAAAGCACCTGCAATGGAACGAGAGGCCAAACACACCATGTAAGAGCCTGACGTCTCCGTCCTAACAGTATCATCAGTACACCTTGCCCTTTCATCTTAACCACGGCAGAATATTCTCACACGCTGATCAGCCTTTCAGTCCTGATCGGGGCATCAGCTGAATAAAAGTGCCCTTTGTGTTCTCAGGAAACATTCGTGTCATCAGACCGGTTTCATTGTGCCTCCTGGTTACCGGTAATTGGGCTTGGAAAGGGGAGTTCGTCAAATGAATTGATTTAGGAAAAGAGGCAGAGGGAGAAGGAAGCGTGGGGATAAAAGCTGTGAGCCAAACAGAGACGCTTTTGGGAGACTCACCGAGAACCTGTTTCTGGTGGGCATTAACCTTCTTTCAGGTTTGCTGAATTCAGTGGATGTTTATCGGGTGTTTTATTGGCACAATGTTTTGACTAAGATTTAGTAAAAGCTACAAAGTGTCTCTGTTTAGTTTTTGTTTCCCCGATGCAGGAAAATGAAAAACAGATTTAGACAACCAGAATACTTTCTTCCATTGGAAGTGATAGGATCATTCATGGGACTAAGGAAAAATAGGCACTTAGGAGGGCATTTGTAAAAGTATCTGTACTTAAAAACACTTTTTGCGTGTGGACAAGAGGCTCCTTGTTGCTTCCTTGTTTCTCAGACTGACCACTTTCACCAATCAGAAGGGATAATGATTAAATAATGATAATGATAAAGAGCTTTTAATTTAAGTTGGATTTGACACATTTAACAATATAGTAAATAACTTTCAAAGTGCTGTAAATACAGAGCTGCATTAAACACAGAGGTACATGGTTAGTGTGGTTTAGCACTGGAGGGAGATGAATACAGCGAACCTTCCTCTGTCCAAAGACAAAAACATGTGCCAACCATTAGTCTCACAGAGCACTTTAGATGCTGGGGATATTATCCGTCTTTCCCTGCCTCTCTGTTATGTCACACTTTGTCTGAACCTGCATCACATTTCTCAAAATCACATTTACACATTGGTGCTGGAACACGGAGCACAGTGGAAATTGAGTTACAGGCATCTGTCAGTATATTAGAGGGTGCACCTTTTTGTGCCTCCATGCCAGTGGCAGCCGTGGCTAGAGGCCTTATGTTTTCGGGCTGTCCATCCGTCCCATTCGGCTGCATGCAATTATTCAGCAACACTTTTGAGGGAAAACCCTTTAAATCTTGCACAAGCTTTCATTTGGACTCAAAGATGAACTGTCAAATGCCAAGGTCACTGTGACCACATGCTTTTGGCTTTTTGACCTAAAAAACACCTTAGGGGAATTCTTCAAATTTGGTAAAAACAATCACTTGACCTCAAGGATGAACTGATTAGATTTCGGTTGTTATTTATCTCAATACAGTGATAAGTTCCATTTCACCCAAAAAAATAACTTTCTGTGGACAAACATGGATGTAAACTGGGGTGGTTGGTGAGGGCATACAACCATGAGGTGGTAATTCTAGCTTGAATACAATAATATATGTTCACGTCTCCTTTCTCCCTTTCATACAAAGACATACTTGTATTTTCCTATTCGCGACCTGCTTGGCTTGGGGATACTTGACAGGAGAGAAGAAACAGCCACCACACTATGCAGATCTACAGCAGCAACACATTCTTCAGCAAGTTTTACAAGGCCCTCTCACCCACAGTGGGGAACAAAGACATTTTTCATCTTTGTAGAGTTTGCGACTGTGACTCCAAGACAAACACAGCCTCCCAAACCTTCTTAGATCTTTTTACAATGATAACCTGCTTTATTCTATTTATCTGGGCCTCATCCCAGAGTGTCAACAGTGCAATACCCAAATCTGATTTTATTCAAATAGATATCGAAAAAGTGGTCTCGGTGATACTGAACATTTGTGGGGTCGGCAAATGTAATAAAAATATAGACTGGGGAAATTCTTTGTGGAGTCTTCTTTGGATAACGCTTAAATCCACAGAGGTGCTTTCATTCGGTCCATATGTCTTGCTTACAATCTGATCTCTGACTCAAAAATGTGCTGACTCCCAAATTGAATTAAAACAAGAATAGGGATTTTAGAGTGTGTTGCCTATGTTATGCTGTCGGTAGGAGGTGGGGCTTTATTGAAGCTACTGTTTTGAGCGAACATGTGGGCATGCTAACCAATAAAGACAAGAATTTAGGAGGGGAAAGACTTGCGCCCTCATAAAAAAGGGTCTGAGACTGGGTTGATTGCATCCATCTGGAAAAGACAACAGTCCAAATATGAGAAGGGGGGGAAGGCAGCAGGGATACGTAGTCACAGGGAGCCGGGAGGGTTTCTGCCTTCCGATCTGACCCAGCATGCAATTCTGCACCCTTGCACCTGTTGGGGGGGATCCTGTTCTTTACTTCCTCTCCGAACAGCAAATAGAAGAGGAGGGCGGGGGTGAGGAGGAGACAGGAGATGATCTTTTGGACCAGATGTAGTATCCAGCAAGTTGCTGCAGACAGTCAGACTGCCAGTGGTCTGTGATTAGGCTCCAATAAGCTGTCAGTGAGGGGGTGGTGAGAAGTTTATAGCTCATATGTTTAGCTTGCAAAATGAATGAGTGCTAAGTTTAATCTATGGCTAAATTGTTCCTCTTGTGTTCTTGTTAGGGTTCATGCCAGGGTACAAAAGTGTCCCTCAGAATACACTTGAATCACTTCCTCTTGTGCAGCCACAACCAAGTCACCTGTCGATACAAAAGTTTACACCTACTTATCAGGGCCATACTTTGCACCGACAGTAAAGTGGTCAAAGGTTGAGGACCCTGCTTTAACGTTTCTCTGCTCATAAATCTGAAGATAGGTTTGGAGGAAATCTGCAGTCAGGGCAAATAAGGGAGAAAAATGGGCAATTTAAGCGCTGGGTTTTCTATGATAAGGACAGAGAGTGACTGTTTTATGCTGTTGTGCATAGAAGCTTCAAGAGACTCCCGACTCCCCTCCCCTCTACTCTTGCCAGTGCCCTGTCTCCTCCAGTCCCAGTTGTCCATATCATCAATCAGCCTCTCTGGTGTATGTTCTCTGGCTGACGGCCACTACTGATGCCGCCGTCCCAGAGGTCGCAGCCAGGCAGGCAGCTATCTGAGCAATTCAACACTACATGTCTCTTAACACATACATTCACACTACTGGAAGCCTCTGGGAACACACGCTGACCATCAATGGACGTTTGCAGCGTACCGCCTGCACACATGCACCATACAACTGCCCAAACATAGGCATATAGCTACAAAACATGGATGTAGGGCATCTGTTGCTGATCCATCACGAAGGAGAACTCACACAGTTATCCAGTCACTTCTCATGCAGCGTCGCCAGGAGTAAATTAGAATGTACACATTCATTGTCTTGCTCAATGACACTAAGACTGAAATCATTATTGCTGCTGGAATTCATCAAAGCTCAAAGCAACAGTGGAGCAACAACTGAGTTAATGCTGCAACATGAAGAGGCTTTTAGGATTCACATTCATGTGATAAGGAGCACAAAAGCAACTTTATCTCAAATGTCTTTTCAAGAAGCCATGCTCCTGCACCTCCTTAAAATAGAGTGTTCCCTCAACTCACGGGATCCCATGGTGCTCTGCAGCATTCCTGGTGCGAACCATCTGCAGAGGCGGCAGGGGATCAAAATACTCGCATTACCACGGCAGGAGTACTTTGTGGTGGCCGAGCTATTGACCTTGGGGACTTTCACTGTCTTGCGAGTAAACACATGAGCATACTCCAAAAATGTAAATGTAAACAGAATGAAAATACACAGGTTCCTTCATGAGCTCTGTGGATAAGAGAATTGTTCGATACAACATTTTAAAAAGCTTAAAAAGGATGATATCTAGTCACAGAAGTAAGGCATAGACCTGCTTGGATAAGAGAACTTAACTGTCTATCTGAATGAGTTCCTGGCATTACCATTAAGGAAAATTTTTTTAAATT